TTCCCCAATTAAACCCTTTATAAAACATTGCTCCTAAACAAATTTTCTAGGTGGTAGACCAGGAAGGCACCTGATCCTCAATAATAAATTTGTTTTTGGGTCCTCAATTGTGAAAAGTTTTTTCCACTAGAAAAAAAGCGCATGGAATCTCCCTTTACCCAGCTCCTGAGGCCAATGATTATGATTCATTAGCTGATATAGCTCTCTCTAGGTTTCTTCAATACTGACAGCAATTGCTAAGAACAATTACAAAGCACCTGAGAAAGGAAGCTGAATACAATCTATGAAAGGAAAATGAATACTACAATCAATTACAAAAGATCCCTCACCAGGAATCCAGATTTGTTTTGGTGATAGTTTATTATAGAGGGTCCCCTGTTTGTTTGAAGGGGGGGGGCCCCTTTACTAATCAGGATCGCACATTACTCTTCTCTTCTCTCAGAAGAACTTAGAAACCAAATGGAGAATCCAATCCGGCTCTCCGGCACCTCTCCGATCCTCTCCAGGGGCCCCCACCAGTTTCCGTGCCTTGGCCAAATGCGCCTGGGCGCCAGGTCGTCGCAGAAAACCCGCCGACCGGGCTTGACCGGAAGGGCGATGGTCGCTCCAAACACGACAAATCAACATGGTATATACAGACATATCATATCATACATTGGGGTGGTTGAAAAGGGGTCAATGTAGGACAACGCTTGCATAATATATAGGTCACAGGGTCACTCTTCCACATGTGGAGTGTGGTGTCTCATGGTGTCTCGACTGATGAACCGAAAGGATCCGAAACCGGGGTGTTCGTTCAAAGCCTTCCGAAGCAGTGAAGGGAAGCACTTCCTCCAGGCGACGGACGGTGAAACCATCCCCTGGACCTCCGGAGAGACAGTGGTGTCAGAGCCAAAGACATCAGGATGATCAGACAATGTGAACAATTGATACATGCTTTTGTTGCATGTGTGTTTTGCCTTCAGCCAGATCAAGGAAGCGAACAACAAATCTCGCCACACCGGTGTTTTGTTGGATATGTCAGCCACCTGGCCCATACCTCGCCTCCACGTAGAGGTGGGGATCTGCAGGTTTGGTGACGATCAACCCGTGGAGGATCTCCTGCCGATCGTCGGCGATCGCTTCGTCGCTTCGGTCCTGGAACCTCGGGCAGTACCAACTTCTGGCCCTTTGGAGCCAAACATGTCAGCCACTCCCAAGAAAGGACCTTGGCAAAAATTGGAACCTATGGATTTGTCCAGGTGCTCATGCCCCTTCAATGGATAAACGTGTCTGAGGTGGATCTTGGGGATGTGATTCCAAACATCAATGTTTTGCCCGGCGTCTCGCTGTTCTTTAGCATGTCTATAATGGCAGTGTTTTTGATTTGAAAGATTCATGAACTCAATGTTAAGGAACTGTTGCACTTGTTGCAGTCGTTTCACCGCGCCTCATATAGTCCAGTGTTTTTTTGCCTTGGAGACTATCATGTCATGATAGCACTGTTTATGTTGTGGTGGCATCGGCATCACGTTTCAACAACTGGTGTCCAGCAAATTCAGCCCTGGGCCGCCGAATTCCGCCCCTTAGATTGATTAGTTTTGATGGTAAGTATGGCTTGCCATGCATGATAGCTGTTTCCCACATGATAGCTGTTTGTCAAGGCGAATCATGCATGATAGCTGATACATCAAACTCAAAATACCCTTTGTGTCTCAAAAGTGGTTGCAGCCAACTTCTCCAGATCGGTTGAAGTCACACCATTGACACCCCAAAGAATGAACCCGATAAACATCCAAAAGATTGGATTGCCTACACCAGCACATACTGAAACGAACGATGGAGCTTGACAGATGTTGATCACACCAACACCCCGCAATGGTCCGACCGACCGACGCGGGGTGTTGGCTTGGTGCCGAGATCATCGATGACGGCCTTTAGTATTTGACAAAAACAAATCAAAGCATAACGCCCCATGGTACATAACGGTATATAACGGTATATAATCGGTATATAACGGTATACACTGTCTATTCTCAATACACTGAGGTATAACGGAAGACACGGTATCCAGCTCGCTCTCAGGCGACTGAAAAAGGACACGAAGATGGGTGGAGCTCGGGGAAGATGGGTGAATCAAGTGGTTTGTGAGAGAGGGTGTGGGGGGTGTGGCGGGTGTGGGAAGTGTTTTCTGATTGCTTGAACGTACCATGATGGACTCCTTTTGGCCTTCAATGCTTCTAGAAACTCTGAGAGATAAGGTATGTTGGTAATTACTGAGTGAATAGGAATAGGATTGGTTTTCCAGGACTAGATGAAACATCTCGAACCACGTTCCAAAGCCTCAGGGAAATGACATGCATGTAGCAATTTCACGCATTGCTGCTATGCTTCTGATTTGGCTGTCTTACCAAAACGAACATGTCCGTCTATCAGAATGTCCGTCTACCGTCTACCTGATGTAGCACCCATCTCTCTCGACTGGGGGAGACCATGGCAAACCCGTGGGGCCTGTCGACTTGGTTGACCTCTGTTTACACCACCCCAATGGCCCTAGAAAATTGCAATGACATGGGCAACCTGCTCTAGGTTTCGAGTGAACAAAGGGCTTTAAACGATTTCGACATCTGACCCACATCTCCTGGAAGGTCTTCACAAGGTCATGCTCCTGGCGAAAGCAGTTGGACAACTTGATTTGTTTTGAGGCCTTTTACTTTTATTGTGCCTTTGCTCAACACTTGCCAATATTTGGCTGTCCAAACGGCCCAATCTCCAGGCAAGTGGACTCGCATCTGATGCAACTATGGAACAACTGTATTTTGGTCTTTGCAGGTCAATCACAGATGTCTAAGAAAGTTCCAACCGGTGTAAATAAGTTCATCCAATTAGTTGCCAGTGCGGCGGGTTGGATGAAACAAACAATAAAGAAACTCCAAAGTCGTTGCAAAGTATGGCTCCACCCGCGCGCGCTCTCTCCGCGCGCGGCTCCCACCTCCAAGTATGAGGCTGCCTGCTGGGCCATTTGGAGCCGTTCCACCTGGGTTCGGATTGATGCCAAACAAGACATGTCACCTGAACAGGTCGGCTGAACACGTTTTGTAAAGCAGGCGAGATGGCCAAAATCTTCCAAACTTCAATCAGACATGGACTCGGACAATGGGATCCCCTCAAAAACAGGACAGTCCTTCAGAAAAGGGGTGCTTGGCGTTCACGTTTTACTTTACTTTTGGGATCTTTTGGGCAACCTACGAGGCAGGAGCCAGCGCGCGGTGCGATGAGCAAGTGAACACCTGTGCGGGGGATCATTGCTGGGATCCCTCAAAAGCAAACGGTGTTTTGTGCAGCTCAGGGTTAGAAGGAAAACGAACCAGAACCCGCAGACCCTTCGGTTTGTACAGGAAATCAAATCTTTCCTGCTTATGTTCAGGTTTTGACTCCAAACGTTTGGTCTCTTCCGTGAAAAGGTTGATCAGCCGATCGTCGGCCTCACGGAACAGGCCCAGGGTGTGACTTTTTCCAAGGCATGGCTGGAACTGATCAGAAAAACAATAGAAGACTGCATGCCAAAAAACACGAGGCAAACAGGAAGGGGATGTCTTTTGGATGGGTCTTTCAACCAGGAGCCCGACCAGTCGACCATCTAGGGAAAGACCTCCCAAGTAGGTCAACCTAAAGTATCCTGGCTTTGACTCACAGCCATGTGAGTTAGAGCAGATGTCACCGGTAAGCGAACTCCGTCCCAGTGATGAAGAGGTGGAGCTGCAGGGCGTTTGAGAAATAACAATCTGTGTGTGTGTGTTCAGCAAACATGCTTTTAGTCTTTACTTCTGCGGACTGCCCCTCCGCAAACAGCGGAAGCAGGTACCTGTACATTACTGGCCTGTTAATCTGATCCGGTCTTGCCGACATTGCAGCACCAGCATGCAGGAAAATGACAACAGTGAGACAAACAAAAGCCACAGCGCGGGAGCCAAGACGCCTCAGTTGCACTAACTCTGGGCTCTTGCAGCTCACTGCAGGCCGACATCGAAAGAAAAGAACACACTCAAAACAAAGACAACACCGCACCCAGGATGCTCCAGACCTGTACGATATGTTCGTCTTCTCCTCCAAAACAAGTGGACTGTCCGGCTGTGCCGGAACATGTACACACTCCTTTCCCGAAACTGTGACAAGAAGGCAGAATGAAAGCCTTTTCTGACTCTATACTGAGACTGAATACAAATTCCCAGTGTGCCGCAACAGTGCAAGAAAAAGGAATGACATCCATGACATTTAAACGCTACAAGCCACCCCTCAGGGTTCCAATACCACCGGCTGAAAAGTAGAAAAAATTATGTATAATGGGGCATTCTCTCCAACTGACCACCTGGATGTTTCTCCTACAGACCTCAAGTCTACAAAAAAAGACCCTACACCTGGTGACGGGTTTCCAGGAAACCAAAAAGCCCAAAGGGCTCTAAAGGAAACTGCTAACCGGCTTCCACCAAACACACAGCACACAAAATCCAGCTCTTGCTTAAAAAGGTAACCGCGCCCCTAAGAGGCCGTGCGTTTGTAAGGTTGTTGTTTTGTTTACAGTGTGTTTTCTTGCAATCGTGTAATTTCCCCTCGCTTTTGACGTTTTTACACGGAGAGTGTTTTTGGGGAGGGGGCTAAAGTGCTGTAAGGATTGCTCGGAACGTTCGTTTTTGGAGGATATACAGTTTTGAACAGATATGACTACATGAGTTTTCCGATCCTAAAGTTTCGAAAGACTTGTTTAACGTTATATATCTAGCGAATCGAAGCAAAAAGCGAAGCGACATGCGAAGCGACACGCGAAGCGGAGCGAAGCCGCCAACACCCAGAACAGCCCGAAGGTCCAGGGACACAATGCGCACTTGTCGCGCTCACCGGACCCCATACGCGTAGCCCAGATCCCCACCCCCACCCCATCTATGACGTAGCATCAAGTATGTTTGCAAGTACCAGTGACGTCAAAGCTACAGCTAAACATATGCATAAACGCCCGGCCCCTTACAGTCGCGGTTATCAAAAACAAACTTCTGCTATGCAAACCCTAAGGCGCCCCAATGAACCAGAAGCTGCGAACAAATATAGGGCGTGGGCCCTCCGAAGATGGCCGCAGCCAGGTTGTAGCTCACGCCCATGGCCACCACCCGCACTTGAACCGGAAAGGAGCTGTGCCTGGCAACGTCTCGCGGCTGGGGGCGACGTTTATGTGCGGAACAAGTGGGAAGACCAGAAACAACTGACCGGCAATTTCAATGTGATTCGACCTAAAAGAACCATGGTAAATTCCAGCTTGCAGGAACACTTGCAATTTTTGGCACTCAAGCATTTGGACGGAAGAGAATTGGGAGCTGCACCGAACTTGGTGCGAGCTCCGAGCTAAAAATGTCAAGCCTTTTATGGTATGTACTAAATTAGAGACATTGCCTGAAGCTTTTCAACCTGCTCCAAACCCACGACTCATCTATCGTTGTGTCTGACTCTCAAAAGATTGACTCCCCCAGAACCCCCGCTTACACTGGAAAGTAAAGTATATGCCGCTTGATAGGTTGCACTCCCTGTTCAGCACACCCACACAGGGTAACCCATGGTAACCCCTTGATGACTTTTGGTGAAACCTCTTGGTGTTGTGCGCCTGGTCCTTTCATGTGATGGATCTCATACGTTGCTTGTACTGCACCAAAACCCCCTGCCCTGCCCTACTCCCACAACTCCAACGCAATGCTTTGGGGAAAAGATCCTACACTCCCTGAAATAACCTGTTTGTAAAGGAAAATGGTCATCCTTTCGGGGCCATTTTCCCATCCACGTTGGCCCTATGATTATTTCAGGGAGTTTACGTCTCTGAAGCATCCTGGGCGCATGAGGAAGGGATTCCCCCAGGCTACGAATCCTGCACCCAAGGCGAAGAGTGCTTGAGCGCCCAGGGCGGACCAAAAGCCACGGAGGGACACCAGCCAGTAGCCTGGAAGGGCACAGAGTGCCAGCCTCAATGTGCGCTGCACCCTTGCCAGTTGATGGAAAAATTGTGGTACAGTAAGCCCTTGTACCACCTAAGATGCTCAGAGTGTTTGGCACAACTCAAGTGGTTTCTGGATCTCTTCCTTTGCTTGAGCCTTCCCTGGAAACATGGGTGCTTACCTTTTGCCCCTTAGAGAGAAGAAAAACACAAACCTCAGGGATGGAATAACTGAGGCTCTTGAAGCCCCTAGACCCTATGCAGGAGGGTCTTCCTCCACTAACTTGGACATCCTGCGATCCCATCGCGGCTTTACTTGCGGAATCTTTGAGCCCCCAAATGGTGGTGTGTTGGAAGAGGTCTCCTTCTTCCGGACAGCAAAGCAAGAGGCGAAGACCAATTCCAACCCCCCAACTACACCAACTTCTCCTTTCTTGATGCATAGTTCCAAGGCCCTTGGCCTTGCCTCAATCATTCCCTGCATCTCATGAACCAACGTGGAGAACGTGTGGAATGGCCCCGAAGACTCGGATGACCAGGGTTTTGGACCTAAGAACAGAAGACCAAACAGGTGGTGGCTTTCATTCCACTGAAGCACCCTGATGATTCAAAACGTGTCGTCTCTTCAGAAGGATCAAAACGTGTTGAAACTTTCCCCAGGCATCCAGATCATTCCCAAGCGGACCTGGCGGACCGTCGCCACGGGCGTGAGCGAGACGCGACACAAAACCCTACTCCAGGCGGTGACTTCAAGGAAGGCGTTTCCATGGGAAAGCAACACGTGCAGCACGTGATACATGGACCATCTTGAGACAAAATTGAAAACAAATTCCTAGTGGAACAAGTTTGTACTGTAGTGACTAGCATGTGTTGTTTCTTGGCGAAGCCAGGTCCTTACCAGGTTTCCCTAGGCCTTACCTGGTTCAAATTGAGGATGCTTCCTTCCCAACACGTTGTCAGCTAGCATATAGACAGGGACCTGGCTCCCATGGAACTAGGTCCACGGCGCATAGACGGCCGTGGGGTGATATATGCATAATTCCATTAGAAATCATTAGGAATGATGTGAGCGACACTTCATCATTGGAACCATTGTGAATTCCATGCAGATTTGGATAAAATCAGAGTTTCGCTGAGGCGAATTGGTGATTTCAAAGCATGTTCGAAACTACGCAACTACTTTTGGCGTCGGACATGTGTGCGACTTTTTCACCACCCCACACCACCCCACCCCACACCATTCGCACACGTAGCATCACTTCACGTAGCAAGTGCTACCGAACGTTGACATGCCTCCCCCACCCCATTCCCACACGTAGCATTGTAGAAAACGAAAAATCACCAAAAAAGCAAGAAAAGCCCACGGCCGTCTGGGTGGCTGTTGGTCTATTTCCCTTCTTCCCGGGGGTCTTTTGAAGTACATGTGCAGAAACCAATTTCGACCTGTTGCCACCCGAAAACAAACGAATTCACCACCGATGCCCCATCAGGAATCAGCGAAATGCGGGCCCTTTTGCTTCGGCCAGCCAGGTGGGTGGGGAGGGTGAGCTTCTCGTTCAAGGGCGTTCAGAACAAATTCCTTTTCCGAGTGGTGTTTTTGAGTCCTGGCAGTTCCCTTTGGATCCTCCCCTTGGAACAGATGGAGTGAACCTGAGTGAACTGACTTGGACAAAGAGTCCCGCTGCACATGCATCCAAGTCTCTGAACAGCTGAAATCGAAGTTGCTCCGAAAGAAAGCGATGAATAACACCAGCATGGAAGGCGCCAGTTGCATGGCAGTGTTCAGTTCAGCAGCTCCCAGAATGGGTTTCTGATGCGACATCTTTCCCTCATAGAGTTGAAGGATCCAAATAAAATTTTGGTACCTCAGACTTCCAAACCTACCACTTCCAAACAGGTAATCGGAGGCACACCCTGAGCGCGGAGGAGGTACTGTTTTGCCTACAGGGCTTACATTAGCTGAGGTTGGCTGAGTAGCACCTTAAGGACTGTTTCGTGGGTGCAACTGCGGCTGGTGCTGGTGGAATGTTTTGAAACTCCTTTGGAACTCTTCGAAAACAAAACTGTCGTCCAACAAATCAGGCAACATCAAGGAACCACGTGGCACAGGAGAATAGTCTGCCTGGTTTATTGGGTAGATGGTAATTAGTTGTTCCTCAGGACATTTCTGGACACTTCACAAATGTAGGCACGGCTCATACAGTGTTCCAGAGTTCATGGATGTTCCAAAGTAGCCGAATACACCTGCCATGAAGAACCTGCCATTGAAGAAATCAAAGTCGACCAGTCCTAAAGGTGTCATGGTTAGTTGTTTTGGGGGGGACCGGTCCTTGTGGGCAGGTACCCTTCGTGAGTGTCTCATGTCGTTTAAAGGAAATCTATACACAACTATACACACAGTTTCTGGAAAATTCATGGACAGCCAGCTGCAAAACCACAATATTAAGAGAATTGGCAGGCCTATCAATAGCATCAATCAGCCAAGACCTGATTGGTGAGTTCCAACAGAGATCAGTTGCAGCAGAAGCAAATGGGGATGGCAGCATGAGAAATGAACCTCTCCTACTTCATCACATGGAAATAGAAAATTGACTTGGTTGTGTCACGTGATTAACTGGAGGTTGTTTAAACACCAACATACCAATTCATGGTGGAAATAAACCGCGAACCCCACTTTCAATTTGGGTGAAAAATCAAGGCTGCTGAATGTTCGAGGTTGACCAGGGAGGCTTATGAATCCTGGCTTGGCACTAGATAACAACCAAAAGACATGCACAAAGAATGCTGTCTTGAGTCTTGAACACGGTTTTCTCATCAAAGCCTCAACCCATCCCCATCGCCCAAATCAGGCAGGTGGCCAGGCAGCTGGGGTGATGGCTTGAGTGCCCACCATCAAAAGCACCGAGTCCCAGTGCTTCTGCCCGAGCGACCACCTGGGTTTTCAAAAGTTCTGATCGAAAGTAGAGCAAAACTCCTAGTCAATAGAAACCACAAACGTGACACCAAGGGACAGGGCCGCGTTTGGCACACGCCCAGTGCGCCTCCAGAGGTGCCCCTTCTTTGCATATTCAATGGTTGTTTGGTTGGGATGGTTTTGGGATAGAACCCCAGATATGAGCAGCTAAAGCCTGAAACGATGGATGTATGCCGATATAAGCAAGAGATGATCAAATGTTCAGTGTTTCCCCATGTCAAGATATGGGGTTGTATTGCAAGAGGGAGACCTCCTGTTTAAAACCCGAAGATCAAAGATCCATTGGTGGAGGGTCTCCCTTTTACAGAATGCACTCCCATTTTTCGGATCGGACTGCTGAGTTGACAATCGTGCAAGCAAGTGTTGGTGGACATCCGCCAAACGAAACCTCTTGAGGGAGTCTCATTCCACGGCTGCTTTTTAATATAATGTAGTGTAGTCTTCCATGAAAGTGCATCAGCACTGGCCAAAGCCTGCCATGAACAGTCAAAACAAGGACCAATCATCATATGATGAATGGATGCAAATTCCCAGATGCAAGAATTCAATAAGCATATGCCCCTCCGAACAACTTCCACCATGGACCTTCAAACAATCAATTCCTAACACACGTTAACATTCAAACGTCTTGCTGGCCGGTGGAGTAAGTTCCCTTCACTGGGCATTTACTCATGATGTTCAGATGGGTGCGTATTTTGATAGGGAGTCTTTCAGGGAGTCGTGGCCTGGGAGGTCTCGGTTCAGCACGATGCCCAAGCGATGGGCTTTTCACATTGCCATTGCCGCGGGCGAAGCAATAACCGCAACCACAACAGGACAAGCCACAAGGGATGCTGCACCAGCTGTCCAACCTGCCTGGCCTCCATATATTCCTCTGGCTCCGAGACCTGCACGTCGGGACGCTTGTGCGTGCGTGCGTGTCTGTGTCGGACCAGCTGAGCAAGAATGGTCCCTAAGGCTGCAACCATGGACCATATGCCCAGAAGGTGGTTAGACCCCCCACATCCACCCCAACAAACTTCTCAGAGGTAGTTGGAGCCCTGGGGAAGTATTGAAAGGGGTGCTGGCAAACTACCAATGGACCATCATGGACCCCAAGAATTGAAGGGATCCTACTTTTGGATACTTTTGGCGGATGTCTCCTTAGCTCCGGGATTGGGGCATATTGGTTTTAGAGCCACGCTCATGTGAAGTTCAGTATCCCATGTCAGGACATGGGACTTGGAAAGATGAGGACACACATGGGGATGGGTCAAGACCTGGAGCCCCAACACCATGTAGTTTGACCTCCCAGATAGGTCAACCGAAGTATCCTGGTTTTAACCCACAGCCATTTATATACTATGTTTTTAGTTGTTGCGGATTGGAGCCACATCGTACAAGCAAAGAAGCTTTCGGCAGCTCTCTTCCAGATCAAAAGATTTTGGGCGTGGCGAGGAATTCCCAGAGCCGCTCTGAAGCGACCTCTTTGGGCGTGGCTTTCATACATGTTCGCATGTGAAATGGTTTTGAGGTGTTTTTGACCCTGAACCCCACACCCCAAATCGCATACTCAACATGACTCCACATGACTCATCGCATCTTCTGCGGGTTTTGAATAGTTTTGACGTTCACCCACCGGTCGGTGCGAGTCGGGTGCGATGTGGTCGGTGCGAAGGGTGCTCGGGGTGAGGGAACTCCTCGATGTGGTCGGTGCGTTCTCTCGGTCGCTCGTCGCTGGTGAGGTCGGCCCGATTAAGAGCTGAAGGGCCGTCTGTGGCCTTCCTTCAGCTCTCCTCAAAACACGTCTTTGCCTCGAACAGAAAGATGAATCAGTGGAGAGTCATGGCGTAGAATGAAGTTACACATATAGTTATGTATATCCCCCACTTCCCAAAACGAGCGGTAGAGTTTCACGATACAAGACTTCAGTTGCGTGGGTGCAGCAGGTTCGACAGTGTCGATTCAGTTGATTGGTGACCTTCATTAAGATAGCCTCTCTTCATCTGGCTTCCAATGGTCTTCTAGGTCAGGCGCCGCAAAAAGGCATACAAATTATGTACTCACCAGTGACATCCAGTGACCAAGGTTGGTGTGTCCATATCTCTCTAACATCCTCTTGCCTCAAATATAGTGTCAAATCATACATCTCTGATCTTATTATGGCTCACATGCTTTTGGCATCCAGTTTCGACCTCGAAGCCCGCACAACTACTCCGACTACTCCGACTATGGCCCTCCACATCCCCCCAGGAACTTAGGGGCACGCCTGGCTTCGCAAGAAGAGCCCGACCACTCCCACGACCAGACCCAGCCAGAAGCAAATGCGCCAGCCGAAGCTCTGCATCTGCGCTTCACTCAGGAGCCACTGCAGAAGACTTACCACGCCAAAGCCACTGAAGGTGCCCAAAGCCACTGAGATGGACCTCACCCGAACGAGCCAAGGCTACACACCAAGGTAGACGCACATGGAATCAAGAGTGGCTCGATGTTTGGGCATGCGACATCCATGTCGATTATACACGTTGCTACGGATGTAGCGAACCTTGTTACCTGTAGCGATGGCCTCCAACCTACTAGCGATGGCCTTCAACCTATAGTAGCAATTATACACCCAAATCAACCTGTGCTGCAACGTATCATGATCTATGTCGACTTTGACAGAAGTGTCCTTGGCTGGACGTGTTGGCTCTTCTTTGCTGGGCTTTTGGAAGGTTCAGTCAGGTTATGGTATGTTCAGGTACGGATTGATTCAAAAAGGCTGGTGGATACTTACACATCTTTCAGGTCGGAAGCCAGCTATGCCAAGTGTGGCCGCCGGGAGAAGTCGCCGAACTGGCTCTTCCAGAGTCGCCGAACTCCTCCGAACTCCCAGGGATTTTATATGAAATCTCGCATCATCTTGGAATGGGAATACACCCACATCAAGTGGAGATTTAAAACCATCTTTGAAACCAGTTTAAAGACCCCCATTGCCCATCCCTTCCTGTCGAAATTCCCCCCCTTATCCCCTTCCTATCTTCCCATCATTTCCCATCCATCCGAAGCACATTAGCGCACCAGAGACTGTCTTCTGCCCCGAGCGGGCATGTTCCATGCTGAAGACCAGTGCGCTCACGTACTCGCCTCCAACGGCGATGCCCTGTAGGAGACGCAGGCCCACCAGCAGAGCGGTAGAGAGACCACCAATCTGCGCATAGGTGGGCAAGCAGCCAATGAAGACGGTGGGACACATCCTTGGAGAAAGATCGGGAAGGAGTGTGTCGGCTGACTACAGATTGGGAGGGGGTTCGGTGTGTTGATCCAAAATTGTGGAGTGGTATTCAGAGATGTATTTAGTATTTAGGGGTGTTGTGGTTCAATGATGCTTCAGTTGGTCCGGTGCACACGTCAGCCTGGTGTCGCAGCTTCCAAGGTTGCTTTAATGTTTTGCACATGCACATTGTTGGCAGTTCGCGCGATCGGCTCAAGAGCCACACAAAAGACATATTCACTCTGAAAGGTGTTTTTTCTCAAGCTGAAGCTCTTGGAGCTGAAGGTGGGAGAGTCGGAAGCTCTTGGAGCTGAAGTCTTGAAGGGGAGGGCTACCCACGGGTGTCGTAACAATACTTTAAACATGTTGAAACCAATGAGATGTTCTATAATGGGTTTGAGATGGTTTGAGACAAGCTTTCGGCTGCGCAGTCTGAACCACACCTGCAAACATGCAGTCACCCAAAAGCCATGTCTGGAGCGGATGCACATGGAATGATGCCTTGCCAAGTTATAATGCCCCATGCGGGAGCCTCAAAAGCAAATGTCATCAAATCCTCTCTACAGTCTCACAGACCGACACAGTAGTCTCACAGACCGACAAAAGTACATGGACGAACCTCAAGTGCACGTGTGAACATCGCTCCGCAGCAGCAGCTACTCCTCACCGCAGCCCGGGCTTAGGTCTGCTTCCCAAGGCTCATCAACAACATGGACGTCCATAGAGCGCATTTGCGCCCGACCGTGTCCCCCAGGGTGCCGATGAGAACTCCACCCACGGGGCGTGTGAGGTAGCCGGCAGCGAAGGCCATGAAGGAGTGCATGATCTGAACCTGAGTCCAGAGGTCCAGAGGATCGATACATAGCTGACATAGCTGGGGGGGTCACCAGGATACTAAGGACTGTCAAGAGGATCTTGCCTTGGAAGCCATTCACCAGAGCACCACGACGAATGGAAGCAGCGAATTGGATTGACTAAGGCTGTTCGACGGAACAGCACCCCTGATCGAAGGATCTGGTGGATCTTCGCAAATGCCGCTGAAAACTACTTTGCTTTGAGCTAGCCCCACCCGCTCAGGCACACTGGTAGGATGGGGGGTTCACTGAAAAGGTATCCTAGGCCAGTATGTGTGGTTACGTTGGGCGTTGTCATTATGTGTGTCATTGCTTGCTGCTTGCTGTCGTGTTTGTCCTTGCGTGTTGTGAAGCATTATGTCATTGTCTGTTGTCCGTTGTGGTGTTTTGTGCTTGTCTTGTCAGGTGTGTTGTGTTTGTGTTTGGTGTTGCCGTTGTGTATGTCAATGTTTCTTGTCTGCTGTCGTGTCGGGCTACTGGCGGGATGCGCCGTGGTTATATTTGGTGTGTTTTTGACGTTGTTGCTGTTGTCGTTGTTGCTGCTGCTGTTGGTGTTGTCGTGGTGGTCATCGTCATTGCTTCTTGTCTGTTGTTGGTGTTGCCATTGCGTGTTGTATGCGTCATTGCTTCTTATCTGTCGTAGGATCTGTGCTTGGTGTTGTCATTGCATTCTGTTCATGTAATGGTTTGTATGGCATTGTATGGCTAATTATCTGTTGTTGCATTTGTCATTGCCCTGGGTGATCCACTGCAGCCGACTGCAGCTGCAGGGGTCACAACAGGGTGGGTTGCCTATCTCAAATCTGGCTGCCGTAATCCTGTCGGCATGTCTTCTCACCAATGAGTTCTTTCAGAGAGTCGGAAAATGTTGGCATTTCTTCCATTGCATTCACCATCATCAGATCCAACCTACCAAGAAAAGGACCCCCAAGACCCAGACGCGTGTGAGGCCTCACACATCCCTTGAGAGTCCATTCTCTTCCGCAACAGATGGGTGTGAGGATATGTGAGGGTAAACTCAAGGATTTGGCGGTCCCACCTGCTTCTCATGTGGGCCCTCCGGTGGTTCGAAACCAAGCTGCTGATGGGTCGCTTTGAGGAAAGAAGTGCGCCCCCAAGATGTCAGGCACAGCAGCATAAACCCCAAAGTCATACCATTCCAACCTGACAGTTTTTGCGACAAAAAACAACACTCATCTTCCAGGTCTTTTCAAGTCGGAAACCATCCGAAACCGTCGGACCAGACCATTCACACGGAGCCACCGAGCGAGGAACTCTCGTGCCGAGTTCAGGCCGCTCAAGTAGGACAATTTGCAGAAAACCTGGACGATCTGAAACAAGTGTTGGTGTGCATGATTTCTCTCAGCAGGAGCGAAATCATGAGGCCACCTATAGCCATAGCCAGGTCAGCACAGAATATGCTGTCCATGCGGACACCATGGAAAGACTCTCCCCGACCCTGAAAGAAAAACAGTCAAAGACAAGGTAGCCAGTTGCCCAGCGCCGCTGCCAAGAACTTCTTGTTCACCTAAAGCGGGCTCAAGAGAAACACACGAAACTCATGGTCAATCTCAGTACATTCCAATTTCCCAGAACCATGAAACATCTGACCATTCCTGTCCAAATGCTGGACTGTGGACTCTCAGACGATCAGAAAAAACAAAGCGTTTGTAGTCCAAGCGTTTATATATTATATAATATAGGTAGATGACTCAGACCGACTGCACCTCTCAGACCGACCTCTCTCCTTTCCGCCCCAGTGGCCAGCCGTTCTCGCACAGGACCTTCCGACTCGCAGGTGGAACTGCACACGTCAGAGATCTCATTGGTGTCTGACCTTGCGAACTGACGTCAGGAACGAGTCTGAAACGAATCAAAGAGAGTGTACCGTCCGGCTCGAACGAGCAGATCGCAAGCAACACTGAAGAGATTGGGCGAAGGAACACAAGACATGACTCTTGACGCTACTGGAGGGTAGAATCGACTCAACTGGTCTGCATTGCCCACCCTCCCAAATGCCCTCCAAACCCTCGAGAGGCGGCCTTTTGGGAACTGAACAGTTTCTGGCTAACGGGCGGCAGGGTGCTCGCTGGATCAATTGAGAGTCCGGGCGACCCGAAAGAACAAGCTGTTTTGGAGCCAAGCCCAAATGACCCCAAGTCCGGGCATGGCATCTATCTAATATGAATATGATCATCTATTGGTTTGAAAAGAACGACTTTCCTGTCACCTGTCTTTCTGGACTATTTTGAGATGGATCCAAATCATCCTCCTCAGAGACTCTGGCAGCTCTAGCGACTCTGGCAGCATGATGTGAGATCGCCCCAGAATGTTGGGCAGTCGCGAGAGCGTGGTACTGGATCAAAGCCCCATTGCGGCCGCGCACGAACGGGGAAGTAACTGTAGGGCAAGGATGCACCAACCAACCGGTGCACAACAGGTTTTAGGGTTTGAGGTCTTGGTCTGCTGCTACAGTGCTCGGAACATGAGAACTTGTCTGAAGAACATGGCCCAACGGACGGATCTGAAGAACATAACATGGCCAAACGGATGGAATCAGCAGGCAATTATTCACCTAATGAGGGTTCACAACATCTTTTGCTCACGTTCATAACATCTTTTGCATTGAGACGGAGACCTCAGCACTGCTTTTATAGTTTGTCCTTCTGCACTTATGACAAAAAAACTGAAAACAACCCTATAAATGCATTCTTGAGAACATGTCACATCTGGCCTGAGACTTGTGTCAGAGATATAGTATTTGTTTGCTGCAGCCAACACTGCCCACAGGCGCGGCAGACTGGATCCGTGGCTAGCCTCGACAGCTGTCAGTTCACTCCTCTGCGCCACTAACTCCAAATGGATTGATCTTTGGGGATTTGGGGGGTCGGGTAATGTAGCTCCGGTTCAGTCAATGCCCAGGTTTGCACACCCGGACATGAGAAGAATCGTTCTTCTGGGAAATGCAAACTGAGGCTGGCTTTGATCCCTACCTAAGATGAACTTGTCAGAGGCGGACTCAGAGCCTTCCCTGTCCAGCTGTTGCAGTGTAGGTACTGCAAGCGCCACCAGTGCTACACACTTGAACCGCTTGGTGGTCGCATGTCTATTTCGCCTTAGTCGATATATGCGCGTCGCTCTAGTCGATGTTTGTCGGTGTTCCCAGCAGCCTGTTGAAGCGATCCGTGAGGGGAGACCCTCACCGGCTCGAAATGAGACGGTTCCTGATTCAGCTTGTGGTTCCACCTGCTTGACCACTCGGTGGGGGAAACCATGGGAAACCCCATCCAACCCCAACAAGGTTTATCAAAGGTTCTTTTCCTGAGTCTGGCTTCCCTGGGCACCCAACCATCTTCCTCGCGGAGTCGGGCGGTGCCGGGTGCGGAGACGCCGGCACGATGGAGACCCTGAGATGCCCCACCGGATGTCCACCTTTGCTTCCACTCTTGATGTCCACCTTATCGCGCACCCGTCGCGCATGGCAACGGACGAGTCGGATTTGGAGGCAATCTTTTGAAGCCCAAGAGAAGGCCTTCTTAGGGAACTTCAATAGGCTGAAACGATCCCAGTGCCTCCCATGTCTGAACTGCAAGCCTTGTCACCATCTGAACCGAGACTCCATGGTCCCAACTGCTACCACTTGACTCCACGGTCCCAAACCAAGCGGTGATGTTCGGACCGTCTTATCACCCCCCCTCGGCTGCGTCCCCGTACCACCGCACGCTCACTGTCGGCGGGGCGATGCTGAAGCCTCACCTGGCGACTGATGCGACGACCATGCGAGGTGAAGAAGCTGGCAGTTGGATGGGGACGTGTATCCATCCGAGGTTTGGACGAAACCATGGAAAACCCATCGGTTTGGTCTTCGGATGTCTTGGTCCAACAAGCCATGCCATCCACGTCTCCATCCACGTTTCCATTGACCTGGGAGTGTAGATCCATTGACCTGAAAGATCTGCAGTGTTCAGTGTCGTGTTGAAGACTGAGAAGTGCCAGAATTCAAACACCCAAACCATATCAAACGATCTCCCGAACAAAAACACCACAACTTCCTGAAAGCCGAAAGACACTCCACCAGCGGTTTTTGTTGATCATTGATCAGAACCTTTGAGCCGAGTCTGTAGACATGTCCATATGAAGGAGGCGAAGTTGTGTGTGACTTTGTTCGGTGGATCCGCGTTGCTTTTTGTTCTGTCCTATTTGACTAGTCTCCGCCCCCCGACATGAGTGATCCACTCTTCCAAGATCTGCACGAAGGACATATTTATGTACAATGGTTTCAGAGTAGATGGCACAATCCCCAAAAGGTGGTTTAGATGGACCCCTTTGTATAGAGGACATCTTGGGGGTTGTGCCATCTACTCTGGCACCACTGTACTCACAAACAATCCTGACACATGACCCGACATACTTCTGACACAGGCACGCATGCCGCATGCTATATACATATATACTGTTGTGACTGCTGTACGTAGTACTTGCATGCCACCTGGCTTTTGTCTCCTCTTACATTCTGCGCGAAACAAAACTTCGCCTTCATCCGGGAGTCGAAGGCGACTTCGAAGACTTCCTCACTGACAAGCACGACAGCAAGAACTCAGGAGCAAGAACTCAGGAGCAAGACATTGGTTCCATCAATGAATTTGTGGATCTGTTGGTTTCAGTGGCAAACTCAAACTGGCAAGTGAAGGAGATGTTCTCTATCCGAGGATATCCTGTAAATAAATATTCCACCAGAAACATCATGTTGGATATCTATCCTGTTGGATGACATTGGACCCGTCGACCCCCCACACATGGTCATGTGACAGGCGAGGCATACCACCAACTGGCGACAGGTGAATTGAAGGATCATGTCCCATGTGGTGTTGTCCTCTATGTCGTTTTATCATACCCTGAGACCCCTTAGGAATCCGGAGTGTTGTTTGGACCCCTTGGAATCAGGGGTGGTTTGGTCTTTCACAGCCCGCACCCCGCACCCCTGAATGAACGGGTCTGGTAGAGATATCAGATGTCCAAAGTCTAGCCCCTAAAGCTCTGAGCTTTAGGGGATATAGTGGATTGAGAGGACCAATGGCACAGACCCCAATGTCGGTGGTTTCTATATATATATATATGGACCCCAAATGGACCCCCCATCTGTCTAGGACATCGAAACGCGCCATCCATCTACTCCGGAACCGTAAAACCACAGACGTTGGCCAATCAAAAAGGCGCCACCGTCCACCGAACCGTCCACCAGATCCTCCAGCCACGCGAGGAGGATTCGCCATCCCCGTCGCGAGGAGGATTCGCGCGGCCAGTCGACCCACCCGAGTCGCGGTGGGTGAAGTCTGGGCATGTTTCAGGCTGACGTTTAAAAATTACACCCAGAACACCCCAGGAAATCACCCAGTCATGAAGTAAGAACCCTCACTGTAGCTATCGCTATCTGGGGAATAAAGTAAGACTCTTAGCACAGGGAAGAAGAGCACGATCATGTACGATCCATGATCCGTGTATGGACTAGGCACCTACATCAAATGGACACTGAAAACAAGCCGAAAAACTACATATTTTAGTATAATATACTTTATCTATTGTGTTTTCATCTAAAGAGCGTATAGACCCAAATAAATAGAAGTTCGTAGAACCCCACCAAAACCGTATTGGAAAGCTTGCCTTTATCATCCTTTATCATCCTCTATCTATTTAGGGACCACTATACATGGTTGGATGAGATCCACCCTCTTCCAAACTCAAGCCGAGAGTTGGAAAAACGATCAGCTGGGGTCATGAAAGACTTCACGCACGAAGACACCGAATTTTTCGGGTTTCGTATGGTTTCGTTCAGAACGTGGTGGGAGTCTGGTGCGGTTTGGGCCCACCTGGTGCACCGTTCGCAGGGCGTGGACAATCACTTCCGTTCCATATATGGAGGAGCCTATGAGACGTTCAATTGAATTGGCATGCATCAAAGCTTCCAGGGGCCAAGCTACAATCCAGATCAATCCAGAAGGTGTTTGCACAGATTCCTTGCAGTACGTGCAGATTTCCCGGCTTTTCACCAATGAGCCAACGACTGCCGCAGCTCGTGGCGCGCGCCGCTGCTGCTCGTGGCGCGCGCCTGAGTTGGGTCGATGGGCACCATCTGCGGTGGCGCCATGGGCGTGAGCACTTCAACCTGAGCACTTCGACGAGACACAAGACGCAGCGGACAGGAAACGACCATCAACGAGCTCCAAACGACCCAACGTTTGGCCGAGAAGAGAGATGTTGATGGCCAACTTGAGGTAAGGTAACAAGTCAGTGAACTGCGCCCACTGGCCCTGTTTCTAAAACATCTCGACTCTGCTACTGACCGTGCGAAATGCCATCCATGGCCCGGTGCGATGATCCACTGGCCTTCATTCACAGTGCCCATTATATAGAAGGATTCCTCAATGTAGTCGTTTGATGTCACACGAGAACCATAGACAAGCATCAACATATTTAAATGGAGATACCAGTCGAATCTATAGGACCATCCGAAACAAACATATAAGAACATGCTCCTGGATTTGGAATATAGTGCGTTTGATCTACAGTACTTCAGGTTCGATCTAATTCAGGGCCAATTATAGTAAGATTGCTATCCATCCAATATTTAGAGTGTACATGTAATTACATGCAATTATATTTAACATATGTTACCATATAACATATGATACCGTAAGCAACCCCTGCTGTACCCACCAATGATTGCGTACCGTTGACCGTTGACCCGTTGTCTCCTGAAGATTGCAGCACACTTTTGCCTCTTTCCCGGGTTGGCATGCCCATCTGTGGGCATCACATCGCAGGCTCTGGAAAGCCATGAATTAAAGGCATCTCATGTTTCGATCGCCTGCTTCTAGCGATCAGCAGAGTACGGATCACATCAGAGTTTGAGGTACACAGAGAGGAACATGGCGACAGTGCAGCAAACAGCAGCAACAAACGCCCAGAGTGCCACGTGCAAACATGATGAAACATGGGGTACATGCTCGTCATCTTTCAGACATTCCAATACCAATGGTCTGGTTCAAACTATTGAGATTCTGGAAGATGCAGTACTGAGTACATCCTCTTCAGCTTGGAGACATCCCAGGACAGAATCGACAGGTCAAAGGCACGGGCACCCGAAACATGGAGCTGACAAACATGCAACGACTGCTCTGAGATGCCAGCTCCTTCAACCAGCCAATTGGTTAGAATCAATTGGCTGGTTGAAGGTTCTGGCCGTCTTGAGGTTGTGCTTGTGGTTTCCGACAGCTTGGAGGCCGCTTGGGGGCCAACTTGGCACGGGTAGGGCGATAGACTTTCTGGCCATCTTGATGTACACGCCGAGATGTCGTTGACGACCAGGGTAGGGCGAAACGGCCAAAAGGTTCCACGCAGAAAAGCCCATGATATCTCGGTCTTGATGCCGAAGTGAGACTGCGAAAGGCTTTCATCATCCCAACTCCAATGACAGCTTCGAGAAAAAGCTCTTGTTTCATCCGTGGAAGGTTTGGATGGCTCCACGCAAGGCAACAAACAAAAGATGCCACAAGGCAGCAGGACCAAAGCCCTAAGCATGGCTGAGCAACTATGTCCAATTGAGAAAGCCAAGCCTGGTGAACCACTGACTGGCTACGACAAATCGAGGTTCGCTACCCAAAGGAAGATGCTCGTTCCACCATGGACTTCATCAGCCAACCTGTTTCTTTTGGAAAGACCCGATGGTTCTGAGTGTCCATGCGGTCTGCCATGGTCAGCCCTGGGCCAAGTCAGACTTCATGGTTTCCCAAGCAGAGTATTACCAATGCCTGCTTGAGTGCGTAAGAACGCCAAATGGTGGCACGGCAAAATCTCGGAGAACATAGTGGATGAATGGTGATGGTCTGTGGACAATCACCCCCCGTGATGGATCTATTCATTTTGAGACCGTGGACGTATTGTTTAGCGAAAGGATCCTCTTGAGATCGCGGGACGAACGGCTCATATCCAGCATTGCTCTAAGAGCAGTATCTTTCTGAGTCACTACCATCTCGCCAAGCCCAACAAATCGAAAAGTCCATCTCCCTCTTATCCACTAAAGAGAATCGCACCTCGACCTTCGTGCCCAAACACATGCCTGGTGCCTTACCGTCTGCTTTACCGCCTCCGACCCCCACCGCCAGCGGTTTCGACGGGTGAACCACCGCCTTCATGTGCATGGGATGCGCCGCCGAGTCGTTGAAGCGGAAGTGCTGCCCTGCCTGGGCGACCTCAGCGGCGGTCCGGAGCGGCCCCGAACGGAGGTCTGGAGCGGACCCGGGCGACGCCACGTGTGTGGGCGTTTTCTGGCTGGTGAAAAGGCCGTCAGGTGTGTTTCTTGCACTGGGGTCAGGAACTGAGCAGGAGTACAACAAGAAGGTACAGACCATTCAATCATGTGATAGCTGATACGTTGGTTCCAAGAAACAGGTGGGAGGGATGGGGCTCACAAAAACCAGCGTGCTTGTATAGCTGTGATTGGTATATGGAATCATAAGTATCACGGCATGCAAATTGTTTGAAAGGGAACTTCTTGTGGCAAAGGGGTGATTATCAGTAGGGAAGAAACTTGAGGACAAAATGAGGCTCCCAGGCTCCCATGCAACCCCAATTGAAAGCCTAAGCAAGGCTTGATCATAGCATTCTAGGCTTGACAAAAGGTCATTCACGATAACCAGTCTTATTAAATGATATTAAGTGAGCTCACAATATAAAGGTGTGTTCAACGCAAGGCCTTCTGCAAACAAAACATGTTCAAATTACGGCTCACCTATGGCTCACCAGGACCTGGTTCTCTCCGCACGGACGCGCAAGGCCTTGCAGCTCCCATGGTTTTTCTCCGCACCGGGTGGTCACGCCGCTAAAAGACCGGGCTGCAATTGCAGCGTGGCAACAAGTGTCGGATGGTCAGGGAAATCCTCCGTGTTCGTCTCAAAGAGTCTCCCACGGAGAGGCCAATGTCCTTGGCATTCTTCACCTCCGCAGTGATTTCATCCTCCTCCACTGCCTTGATTCCATGCCTGGAGGAAAGGGCAAGTAGACAGGAAAAGGCAGGGCAAGCTGCATGCAAAAAACGCCTGTCCGAAGAGCTTGCTGGGCTGGCACTGCGTGTGAAACGCAAAGCCAGTGGTACAACAGTTAACAACATGAAGATCTGGGCTCAGGGTGAGGTGGACAGGGCTTTTTCTACCAGAGTTCAGGCCCTTGATCAAACCTAGTAGCGCCCAGCTCGCAGCAGGGAACAACCTAACCTCCCTCATACAAAGCCGCCCAAAAAACGCCACTGTCCTGTGGTAGGTGAAAGCATCACCCGACAGGACCAGCAAGCTTCCAGGCTCCAGCAGCAAACTCAACTGTGGCTTCGTCCCTGGAGGCATCTGAGGACTGGATGGGACTTCCTTGTCGCGATCCCATGAGAAGCCATGCTCCTGTCGAACCCATCCGCATCTGGTGATGGCACAACGGGAGTTGGGGGTCATCACGGCAGGGCACGAACGTGGTTCCTTAGAACTTAGAACTCCGACACGAACGGATGACTGACTAGTAGGATTGGCTGGAGCTTTCAGGGTTGGAGAGGAGCCTGTCGTCGATGTTCACGGCCTGACCAACTTGACATATAGGCGAAGGCCGCCAGGGGTGAACTACACCAAGTCATCCAACGAACTAGTAAACAAGTGCATCGCTATGAGTAACTAAAGTACGTACGTAGCGATGCACTAGCACCGCGCTCTCCCGGGCCTCAGGCTCGCCCATGCGGGGATAGAAATCGAAGATGCAGTGGGAGCCCAAGCTCACGATGGCGGCCCGAGGAAAATAGACCGGGCCATCCAAGTGCGGATGGATCCCTTGCCCAGGTTTATAAGCATTCAGGCGAACCTGGGCGGCGCCGGCGTTCTTACTCGCGCGTGCCGGTGTCCACCGGGATAACCCCCGTGCCCAGGAAAACATAAGCCGAAGCACAAAGGGTTATGACCCCAATGTGGGTAGATAACTTTTCCATACAAGGATTGTTTGGCATTGCACATCTTGCACATCTTGCACCCGGATGCTTGGAGGGTGCCATACTAATTCTAGTTTAAATTCTAATTAATACTAATTCTTGTTTTTAATAGCTTCTTGTTACTAGAAGTAAGGCCAGGAGTCCCTAGAAGCTTCTTGCTCCTAGATAATATGGGGATAACGTCGTATACATCATTATTGATATTGAAAGGCCTGTGGATGAAACCACGAAAACCCTTCAAGTGTCTCACTTTGGAACTTACGTCAGAAACCCACATCTATGTCATCTATGCTTTTGCTGGCAACAACAGCAGACAGCGGGTATGCCACGCCGGGAGCCGAGAGGCGCTGTTCGCGGGGAACAAAACTGGATGGAAGGCGCCGAGACTGCCCAGGGCGTCCACCATGGTGCTCTGCCACGGAGGCAACGCCTGAGGACGCGGCGTCCCGCAGAAAGGAGAGACTGCAACGGCGGTCGCACGGAGGCAAGGCTTGGCTTGTAGGACTGCGAAACATAGAAGAAGGCTAAAAACTGAAGGCTGTCAGGCTTGAGTAAGCATGTCTCAATGGCATGGCTGAAGTATGGCTAATATACTAGTGGCTATATATGCTAGTCGGCTATACCTTCTGCAGGATTCGTTGAGTTCCATCTTCTGCCACCAAATGAAAACATCTTGCTTTCTGCCACCCAGCGGCTGCGCGTAGCAGACTCCTCCCACAGGGGCACGTCCCTGAGGAGCCGAACTCTTGCGTGTCACGGGTCTGCATCTTCTCCCAGTCGCAGGTCCGGTCGATGATCCGTTCGAACTCTTCCACCTGTTTGGGCTCCAAGAAGTTCCGTACGTAATGCCTCCCGGTGACGTCCAAGGATCGGTCGACGGTGTGACGTGGACTCGAAGGCGACCGAATGCTCCGTCCACACCGGTGGCCACGGGGACCAGATCCGATTGGACCCTGGAAAAGCACCCGTCCCCTGTGTTCCGGACGTGTGAAGCAGCGTGACTCTGGAAAGTAAGGTGCAAGATGCCCACGTGGATCATCGTGATGAGACGCTCAAGCGAAGAAGTGGGGGGGTGTTCCGTTGGAACGATTATGGGTCTTATTACCGGTTCACCCCTTTTCCAAGACACCGAGACCGAGCAGAAGAGTCAATCAACCAAAGAAAAGAAGCAGCGCTCAGATGGGGATGTCCGAGGCACACATCTTGGATCTTTCCTGCTAAGTGGTGAGGAACCCAGCTGGGTTCCATCATGGGGAAGGTCTGCGACAACTTCTCCAGCTTCATGGCCAAGTTCTCCTTTACAAGTCGATGTTTTCTTGACCCAGAACAACCCGGATCCATCGCCATGGTCTAGGTTCCAAAGGTTTGGGAATGCCATGTAGCACCCCTTGATACGGAAGAGGAATATGGACCATATATGGATACCTCCAGCTCCTTGACTCCCTTATAGACCCACCAGCTTAGTAGTAAGATGAAGTATGCATAACTATGAAATCACCAGCTGTGGAGGAAAGTGCCTCCTTCTGGAAGGTCATCATCTGACACAATGATCCGCACCATATGATCGAACAAAGCACAGATCAGCCCTCCGGGGTCGCAGCTTCGAAGAGGAGCCGGGTCCGGGCTGGGCGGCCCCCGGTAGAAACGACCACTCCGAGTGCCATGACCCGACCAGTCCGACCATATGGAACACACACCCAAACTCAGCTCCTTGAGCTTCTTGGGCAAATCCTCCAAGGGCTTGGAGGAGAGCGAGGGGACTTTCAGCATGGATTGAGAGGCATGGAAGCGGCCCACCAAACGCGGAGGTTGTTGGAAGGGTAGATACTGCCATTCTCCTTGGTCTCTGGAACGTTGGCATGCAACCAAAAAGAGTGGTTGAACGATAAATGTCTCAGAGGAACGAGCAAGCACAGGGACATTGGAAAAATTGTTGGTGTTTGTTATATATATAAGTGTTATGACAAAACATATTGTAGAAATGCATGTCTATAGAAGTCGATCTCTTGTTGTTTTCCCTCGCAAACCGTGTGCAGTTTTGTTGTTTCAGCGTCGCAACCAAAACCTGAGGAAGTTCTGTTGAACCAAGCAAAGCCACTTGAGTTCAAACACATCCAACAGGTGGTCCTCCGAACCAAATCCAGCTGGCCTTTTTCGCAAACTACAAGAAGGACTTTGCGACGTAACCTATGAAACGCGCATATACATGAAATGAACTTGCATATGCCGAAGGTTCCCTACTCTGTGCCAAGCTACTTTGGCAGCAAACCGAGTATGCACTCAAACACAAAGGGTTTGTTAGACAAATTCAATGTTTAATACCCCCTACTACAAGCAAGGGACCCCAGGGACCCATTGTAGACCCCAAAACTGGGGGTCTTTTATGGTTTCCCTAGGGCGTCTACGTAGGCCACAGCAGAGGTTCTAGACCCCCCCCCTGGGACCGCGTAGTGGGGTCTTAAATGGTGTGCCTGACCACATGTAAACTGCTCAAATGGACACTTCATCCTAACACACCTTCACAAAAAACAACCAGCAGCTTTCCAAAGGAGAGGCAACACCAGTGAACCAAATGAAAAAGATTTCAATTTTTTGCTGTTTGGCAGCGGGTTCAGGCACTAGGGTCTAAAGTATTGTTCCTGGTGACCTGTGCAATCTTTAATACACAGGAGCTCTGAGGAATCCATTTTAGACCTTCAGCTGCTTTCCACCAATATCTGAGAACTGGATCAGTATGGAGGACATTCATGAGCATTCACCTGATGATTTACCGAAGGGGTCTGAAGAGTTTTGATTCCTTGTGAGTTTTGACATAGCATCCTGGTGGGCGGTTTGATTCCTTGCGCGTGTGTTTTGAGATAGCATCCTGGTGGGCACATCATGCTTTCGCGGTTCCGGCACGCCAGACTCAACCTTTCATAGACTCTAAGTTTGCCTTCGCGAGTTGGCTTCGCCTGTGTGAAATCCAACAGCCTACGCCAAAGGCTTCGCGAGCCTTCGCTACACACAATGTATCACACAAATGCCTTCGCAAACACTTGTGGAGTTACAGTCTAATCTAAAGTTTATCATGCAACAAAAAACGCTACTGATTTGAAGGTGACAAGTCTGAAAAGTTGAAAAGGTCTATATAAAATGCTCAACGATTTAGGGTCTACAATGCACACAGTGAGTATCCTAGACCCTATGCCTGAAAGTACATAGAGCCCCTCCCATCCTAGACCTTTAGTAGTTGGGGGTATAATGTTTAAATGTAAAAACCATGTCCTGTGCTACTGCTACTGCTACTGCTGCTACTACTACTCCTCCTGCTACTGCTACTGCTACTACTACTACTCCTCCTACTACTACTGCAACTACGGCGACTAAAACTGCTACTACTGCTATTAGATTATATTCCCCTAGCTACCACTACCACTAAGATTACTACATCTGTACAGGCAACCAAACGGTTCAAAGAACAAAACATCTCATCATTCTAGTGACCACCAAATCAGTGGAAACAGGAGTCTAGAACCAATTGTTTCTGCCATTGCGAAGAAAAACAAGGTCTCGACTAAGCAATTTCCAGGTCTCCAACCCACACCTTGCCGTTTTCTGGGCACTTGCTGAAGCCACGAAAGCGATGGGGCTCGGCTTGGACGTGCTTCTTCGAGGTGGCTTCATATTGGAAAATGTCCAATTCAAAGCCCACCAGTCCTCGTCAATCGAACCCACAGGTCTTCAGAGCCATCATGCGTGGATCATGTGTTTTTTGATGGGGCGAACGTCGCTTCTCTCTGCTCAGCCATGGATTCGCGTTCGACTCCAGCCACTGAAAAAAGGAAAGTAATGGCAAAACATTGCAAAACTGCCAGAGTAGTCAGCGGATTGTCCACCCGACTAAGGGTCCCATTTTTTGGAGGTCCTTTGAGGTTTAGCAGTATTCTGCCGGCCTAATCATGTTTTGGAATGCTAGTGACTATACTAGGTAGCAACCCAAAGCATACACAAGCCCAAAAAAAATTTATGTTGACTTTTCCCCCACCTGTCAGGTGAGGGTTGTTAGATTTTATGTCAGCCCTATCTCCTCCTCCTCCTTCTCCTCCTCGTCCCCAACCACGACCATCCACGCCCAGTGTTCCTGCCGCACTTCAACCACAACCTTTCACGCGCCGGACCTCAACCACGACCATCCGCGCCCAGTGTTCCCTGCCGGACCTCAACCACGACCATCCGCGCCCAGTGTTCCCCTCAACCACGACCCTCCACGCCCAGTGTTCCCTGCCGCAGCCTGGTTGCATTCGCTAACCACCTCACTCTTCACTCTCACCTGACCCTCAAACATGTTGATCAGAGCCGCCAGAGAGTCGCCCATCGTCATGGCCTCTGGGCAAGAGTTCTGCTTCGCGTGCTGGTGCGATTCCCGTTGAGGGTGGTCCGAACGATGCATCTGGCAACAGAGCCAGCCAGAGACCTCCTGCTTCTCCGCCCACAAAATGAAGCTCCCCCGGGACCACCGATCTCAGCTTCCCGTAGTGTAGGGTCCAACTCAACGTAGCCTTCATGTAGCCGAGCATCTGCTGGGCATAGTGGATCACCCGAGATGGACATTTGGTGACTTGGCGTCCCATCCAGCCAACTCCGTAAGCCAGATCTGGTCGGCTCCGCACCAAAACCCACAATAACTCGACTTCGCAATGCCTGAGGATCCTTCAAGTGATAGATGCTCTTGACATCCAGGACATAGGGCATGAAGTGCCTCAGCTAGTGCGGGGTCAGACAAAGCCAACGTGGTGGGCTTCTTGACGGGCAAGAGGGTGCCAGTGGAATCAGGCAGCATAAAAGCACATTGATCAATCTGTGTCTTGTGCCACAAAGAGTCCATGCTTTGAAAGGTCTTGGTTGCGCAGGACTCAGCAGGCTTGGGTTGTTCAAGGCCAGCATGGTTCTTTGCATCGAGTTGGTTCTTCAAGAACTTGCGGTTAAATCGAAGATGTGTATTCTCCTCAACATATCGTTCAGCTTGAAGCAATTCCTTCTGCCATGCATAATAGGTGACCGCTTCTTGCAGGGTGGTGCGATCCATACAAAGCGAGGGCATAGTTTGGTCTGCAATGCCAAAAATTGGCGCTGGTGTTCTGTCTTGGTGAAGTCCCAGCCATTATTGATGTCAAACTTCATGATCTCGTGACCCAGTGCTTGGAAGGCAGCTGAAAGGTTGCCGGATCCAGAGTAGACTTCCCAAGTCTGCAATGTACCTCGCTCGAAGGCACGAAGGGCTTGTTCAACTGATTGTCGTTGCTATGCTTGTTGGGGGTTCTGGTAGTTTCTCAGTTTGTTGAGCTGCGTGTCTGTTGATATTCTTGTTGTATAAGCGTGGCCAGGAATTGGTGATGTTCCGAGAAATGGTCCAGCGTGGTGCACTGCTTCGATAATCCTGGCCAAACAAGAAGTACAAGACCTCTTCGACTTTGATGGTCTCAGTGTTGTTGCCACACTGTGACATGACTAAATGGCTTGGTCCGCCGTCAAACCAGCTTTGATCCCGCGGCGTTCGACTTCACGCTTCTTCTCTCTGTGGTCTGCAGCGCGGCGTAGCTCAGGAGCGTCTGCTGTGGTTGACGTCCAGCAGCATAGAAAAAATTCTAAGGCTCTGGGCGCTTCAACACGGTCATCGTATTTGAAGACCACATCCAAAATCTCCAAGACCTTGGTGAAGCCGTCAGTGTCCTCGGCAAGCTTGTCAGCACTGTGTTCGACCTGCCGCCAAACAATGCCATTCAAAGGCGTCACCAGGTTGATGGTGGCCTCTTTGGATTTGTTTTGAACAGCCATCTTCTTTCCATAGAGGCTGATCGAACTTCTCTTCATGATCTTCATCATCCCAAGCTGCAGGCTCGAAGTCGACCAGAAACCTTGGCGCGAGCGATCTCATAGTAGTCGAGCTCCTCAGGGTAGTTGGCCTCATACTCTTGCCAAGATTCAATGCGACCTTGGGCACTCGCAGCTCGATGTTGCTCGGCACGTCGGCGACTTCTCTCCTTCTTTGCCAATCGTGGGTCCATACCTGGTGCCAAGTCTGCTGAGAGCCTTCCGGCACCGAAGCGGCGCGGCTGGAGGTTGGCCTCTTTAGCAGAGACTCGGGCTCCTGCTCCTTCATGGCATACCATCGATCGAGGACCGCTTGGTTTGTGGCTGTGCCTTGAGCTTCGGCCTCATCAATGGCCTTTTGAATCATCTATGACTTCTCCTCATACAGTTCACGGTTGGACTGCATGGATTCTTTGATGGCTTGGTTCACGACTGCAATTCCAGGAGCTGCAATCTCGGGGCGACCTTTGCCAGATCCTGGGTGCTTCCGCATGGCCTTGATCTCAAGCTTGGCTTTGGCCTTCTGATCCCTCGGCGACTGATGCAGGTGCTGCTTTCTCCATCTCGAGGGCACAGAGAGTAGCGATGTCAGCGGAATACTCGGGCTCAGGTTGATGCCCTTGATCTGCCATACTCCAAGGGAATAATGCTACATCTGCTCCACTGCCAGCAATGATGGCCACATCCTCATTCTCTTCCCCAAGTCTCCTCACCATGCGTTCATCATCTGAAATGTCAACTTCTTCAGCTTCCTGGATCTCTGGCTCATGATCATCGTCATCACCATGTCCAATGTAGAAGTCAATCACTCTGATTCCCTGGTCTTCTAGCTCATCATCTCTTTCTCTCAAGTCAAAGATGATTGATTGGCACACTGTTGTAAATTCTCATGACCACTGGTTTGGTCTCTGCTGAGC